TAAAAGCAAAAAGAAAAAACAAACGCAAATAGAAATCATGTGATGTTGCAGGAAGCAAAGCTAGAAACGAATACACCTACCTAAAAATAATAAAGAAAAGTATGATACAAAAAGATATATACGAATGTATGTATGTACTACCTAAATCGGAATCAAAGAAATATAAAATATATACATATGTATATGTATATGTATGGATATGTGGAGTACATCATGTATAATCCAGGATCCAAGTCTAATTTAATCAAATGCCGCCAGTCAGGATACAATATATATATACAGATATATAAGTCTTAATGTTAAGCAAGGTAAAAAGTACGAAAACATATTTTCCAACTCCAAAGCAAAGAACACTCTCGACTTAAATATTAAGAGCGTGTTTCTTTTTTAACTGTAGACAATTCAAGATTAATGCTTAAAGGCTTTTTCCGGATCAGCTCAGTCTGCTCCCATCCAATTTATGTATAAAGTTAAGATCTGATTTATAGACCAGATTACAAAAGAACAAGCAAAGTAAACAAACAAACAAAAAAAAAAAAAAAAAAACTTAAATATGTGCAGAATACTCTGCAGAATATTCAGCTTTTAACTGCATGTCCTATGCGTGATCGTATTTGTACGAATATTTTTATGTTTAAAATTAAAAAAGAAATAAATAAAATCTTAAATATTTATGAAGCCAAAATACGTTGTTTTTACTTGCTAAACATATATAAAGTTTTTCTTTCATATAAATATCAATGTAATTCCACTCAAGCTATCGTAAAATCACACCCTGTATGGCGCTCTTTTGCTTATAAATCCAAGTGATTCACCTGCTCAGCAGCGCAATAGGCAAATCGAGCACAATCTATTTTTATACAGTGAGCCCTTAAGTATTGAGCAAAAACTACGAACTAATGCATATTCATGCTATATGTATGTATTGGTGATCCTTAACATCCGTTCCACCCTCTAGTTCACAATGCATTCTTATATTTCTTTTACTCAATTTACTCTTGTCCAAAAACGACTCAAGAGCTGAGCTGAGTCAAGTGAGTGAAACTGCGCCTATAAAAGCGAGAAGCAGCGACAGATTTGCTTCAGTTTTGTCGGTGATCTGCCGCTGAGTTGTCGTCTGTGGTGCTGTGGTTCTGTGGTGGGGTTCTTATAAGTCCTTTCTTTTGTCAATATTTAATGGGCATACTTGTTAATGTTATATGATATTAATAATAGCTATCGGTATTGCTATTAAAACAAACATTTTAGCTGTATGCATTATAATAATCATGTTGTTACGTTGTTTAATGTTAATGATCGTTACATGATAGATAATATATCATAATGATGCTTATATTGATCATAACGATGCTAATGCTCTTACTAATCATGACTTTTTGCACCCAATCTACCCTTCAATCTACCCAATGACATTCTCCTATCTGGATTTACGGCTCTCTCATTATGAGTAATATACATATATACCATAGATTTCAATTGTATAAGAATGCAATGAATGCAATAATGGGCATATTATATGTCATTAAAGATTTCCTTCCTAATATTATAATACAATTAAGTAGTACTAATATTTGCTATTAAATTTTCAGCACACAGATAACAATATTATTTAATTAGTCGTTTGTTTATTCTACTTTCCAGTTCAGTGGACTTAATTTCGCTATCTTTATTCCTCACAGTCAAACAGTCATTATCAGTATGCTCTATAAGGGGTAACAAATTAGACTTAAGGCTTATTATTTATATAATTTTACTTTTCAGTTTTATTCAAAATTTGGGGCACCTCCAACAAAGCTAAGCAAAGTTTGAATCATACAAAAATAAAAACTAAATATAAAACCTGATTTGCCGTGCCTAACTGCTCACGCCTTCTCGATTCTTAAGTGTTAATTCACTTATACATGCATATAACTTTAGTAATGACAAAACATCAAGAATTCTGAAATTGTTTTAGCTGATAAGAGAAAGATGTTCGCAGGGAAAAAAAAAATACGACAAATATAAAGCCAAGGGGCTATTGCGTCGTTGTAAAGCAAATATTAGATTAAAGTAGCAGTCGAAAATTAAACCTACATGCTTTGTACAGTTACAGATGATAGTAATAAAACGATCAGAGTTCATATTTAGTTGGCGTATTAAACATTTCTTTAATCGTAAGATCGTGTAACTTTAAATGATATTTGTTCTCTGAAAAATGCAACTAAAACTAGAATATTAAATGGATGCTGTCATTGATATCAAATAGAATTCGATTGAACACAAAAGTTGAGCTAATATATACATATATATACACATATCTGAAGTATATACATATATACATTGCCACAATAACTTAGCAATGATATTTGTACTAACTTAAATTAGTAGGTATATTACATTTGGGCTGGGCGGTCACATAAACTAAATCACCTAGTTACTCAGCAGTGAGAGAAATGTATACGAGGATACGAGGACTGCCAATTTCCTCTGGGCCGAATTCCTTAGCCCTTCTTGAAGTCGAGCAAATCGGCCAATGCCGCCGCTTTGCCGGTATCATCCTTCTCCAGTTCGGCGCGTGTGCAGCGGCCACAGCAGTCGGCCGAGGGTCGATTCTCGCACTCACCGAGCGCTGGAGGCTTAAAGTTTGGTGTCCACGGACCTAGGCTGCCGCTGGCATAGAAGTCCATGGGATAGGCATTGGTGCGTGGCGAAGCATTGTCTGGCGTCCACTCGATGTCGCCCAGCACCACGGACAGCTCATAGGGATTCAGCAATGGCTGCTCGAAAGCCGAGCCCCAATCGATGGACAGACGTGGACAGGCGATTTGTACGAAGGCATCGATGTCAGCGAATAGCGCCAGCTTCTGTGGGAAGATCTCCGACAGCAATATTGTTGTCGTCGCAATGCCCTTGGCGTGCAAGCGCTTCTCCAGAAATCTGTGCACTCGAGCGCTGCCCTGCCGCCCCAGTGTGCCCAATATGATGCCAATGCGCTTCGCCTGCTTGGCACGCTGCACAGCCGAGTGACGTAGGCTCTGCATGGCCTTGTGGTCATAGTGTTCCACAGTGAACTTCTTTTCATATGGATCATACTTGTAGGCCTGCAAGAGATTGGAGTTAATCAAGTTTATGGTGCTTCGTTTTTTGTTTAATTGCCTACCTTGAGCAAGGGGTTTGCAATCATGGCGGATTCCAGGTGGAAACGTCCGTCACCCAGGTAGATAATCATTTGCGTTGTCTCCGGCAGCTGTGGCGAAGTGCAGCCCAATATTTCGCCCGGGCTCAGGGGCTTGGCCTGCGGCACCAGCACATCGTAGCCAGCTGCCTTCAGCTCTACGGCAGCAGCTTGCAGCGTCGTGACAAACTGTATTGTGCTGACCAGAGCTATTTGGCCCACATCTGGTTTGAAGTTCAGCTTGACGGAGTCCAGGAAGTGCAACGGATCGATTTTTATATCCACAAATATGTACAGGACCTTAATGCCGCAGGTCTGATCCACGGGTATCAGGCAGCTGTGGCCGTAGTGCACCAGCAGATCCGCTCCCAAGGCCTGCGCCGTGTAGTCATCCACGCAGCAGGCGCCATATGTGACATCGCCCATGATGACTGTGTCGGCACTTGTAAATCGCTCCACAATGTCGCTGATGACCATGGCATACATCAACAGTCCCTCTGGCAACTGTAGCGCCACGCGCTTTGCCTTCGTCTCTCGGATGCGCCAGATAGTTTTGTGCAGTTCAAAATTGTAGTTGGAAGGCAGCCGATCGATGGCCTGCTGAAGCTGGGGATCGTTGAGCAGCTCCTGTGGTATGCGATTGATGCGCGCCTTGGGTTTAAACACCTTCTTTGGTCTCGCTCGTATGACGACAACATCGCTGCTGTTGTTGTTGTTGTTCCCTTCATTCAGGTGGTCGATGGGTTGGACAATGTCCAACATGATGACAAATTACTGGAGCTACAACTGAAATGTACAAGCGTAAACACAAGCGATATTATAAACAAATGTGATATACAAAAACAAATGTGACAACAAACTTGACCTTGACTTTGGTCTTTGATTATCAAATAAATATATATATGTATATGTGCATGTATATATATTTATTTATTTTTTTTTTTTTTTTCGTTTTCTTATATTTATGCATTTATTTGTATATTTACGCATATATGGAGAGCTAATGAGCTCTGTGCGCTGTGAAAAATTTGGGTCTACGTGACTGCAGACATGCAAAATGCATATGTAAACAATTCGTTTGATTTTATTTTTATTCTTTTTCTTTTTGTTTGAAGAAGTTGCAGTAATTAAACATTGCATTTGATGACTCAGGTATGGGACCTCACCTTCACTTTGTTAATTAATTTTAGCTGCAACTGTCGAATGGCAAACGCGCCAAGGTTTTCACTGAGATTTCCTAGACGTTCACTTTGTTTTTCTTCTCGTCTAGGTTTTTGTTGTTGCTTTTGCTTTTGTTTTTATTATTGCTGATTATTTAATAGAGGCACACGTGTGCACACACACTTGTGAACTGTTTCTAAGATTGTTTGCAATTAGTTGTTGCCTCGCTAACAGTTCAAATTTAAATGCGGCTATGCTCAGGGGTTGCAGTTGCACTACGGAATTGGTCAGTGAACTTTTAAAGCAGCTGTTGTTGCGCCATTGATAACTGTTTCTGAGTCACGTAGGCCACACAGAGCAACGTGCAACATGGACGTTGGTTATACTGCCCGCGCACTTCAAACTATTTGTATACCATTCGGTACTTGTACCTGCACTTAATGTAACAATTACAAGTGCACTTATTTTATAACATCAACAACAAACTTTTCTTACGTTATTTATAAATTTTAAAGCAAATATATAGCAGAACTTTCAATGCTCGTATCGATGACTGTATTCTGTAGCTGTGTAATTTAATCAAAATTGGTATGCAGCTCACCGACTGTTGGCCGACCACCACAAATTATCGATTTCCTGCAGTGTTGAGCAACGCTGGCCGTTATTTTAAAAATTAAACAATTCGTGTGTGATATATATGTGCTTGAGTAACTTAACAGACCTATAACAATAAGTAATTTACAATTCAAGTTTTAAGCTTTCACGGTTTCCGCTTCCGACACATCAGCCTCCTCCGCATCCTCTGTAAGTATGGGAAAATATTAAAGATAAGATATTGTGTGAAAACAGTTTACTTTAGCGTTCACCTACGCTTGCCTCCGGGCATTCGTCTCAAACGCTCCTGTTCCACAGCGGCAAAATATTCGCTGGCTGCCTGCTCGCAGGCGCTGGCAAATGGCTCCATATTGATTTTGCCATTTAGCATGGTCAGATCGGCTTGCTCCTGCCCATGGTTGGCCTTAATCTTTAGCTTGCTCTCCCTCGACTTGGCCTCCAAAATCTTCTCACGTCGATTTTCGCGTTCAAACATCTTTGGAATACGAATCACAAAGAAGCAATCATATTATTTATATGTAAAGTACTGAGACTTACCGCCGTCAGGAGTGGCTTATCGTTTTTAGCCGACATTATCATATTGTCGGAAACCTCTATTAGAAAAGTGGCGCCTAGTTTGCTGCCGCAACTGACGAATTTACCATTTTCGTTGGTGCGTACGCAGTAGAGCGGCTCATCGCAAACTTTGACCGTCAGCACCGGCTCATTCTGCTGCTGCAACAGATCCCATGTGTCCAGCACGCCATCCATGCGAGTGATAAAGAATTGAGAGACCCTAAAGCAGAGATGGTTAGAGTTCGTATTGAGTTAAATGCGTGTCAATTCATACTTAGTGTAACTCCAGGCGCCGTCTGTCAGCATCGAGGAACTGCTCTTAGTCCATATAATTGAGCTCTCACGGCAATCCTCGGACCATATGCGTGCACACCAATCGCCCACCGTGAGGAAGTTCTTCACGAAAGCTGGATTTCGCGTGATGGCATAAACTGGACCCAAATGGCACATCATCTGCAAACAGAAAGAGGTTTGAAGATTGATAGATTATGCAGAGAGACTTTAATTAAGTCATACCCTGATTTGTATCTTCTCTGTGGGCGTTTTACCCTTGCGGTTGCAGGAGAAAAGCATTCCCATCTCGGTGCCAGCCATGAATCTAGTTGGTATGGTTGTCTCGTACTCCAATACCGAGATGCCATATGAGCGTGATAAGTCCTGTTCGTCGCCTTTAACCGGATCCATGAGCAAGCGATCCAGCGGCTCGCTGAGCTTGCGTGTATCCCACCAGAGCACTTGGCCATCGGACCCGCCCGAGAAGAACTCCGTGCCGCTCTTCGAGTTGTTCCAGAGCACCGAGTTGACCGGGTCACGATGGCAAACCTCGCGTTCACTGATCATCACAGGAAGCTTGCCGTGACGCGTATCCCAAGCAGCTACTTGGCCGTTGTACATGCCGCTGACCAGGCTGGTGGGATCCTTTTGATTGTACTCCAGACACACACATGGGACCTTCGGCTCCAGCGTTAGGAATGGTTCGTTTGGGTTTTCCACCTCCCAGATGTACGAGTTGCAGCGCTGCCCGGTCTTGTCTCCCTGGAACTTCATGTCACAATGGCTGACAGCCATTTTGATGCCACCATCTGGGGACCAGGACAAATGCTTTACAGGCACCTTTATCGGATTGGGATCACGATAGACGTTAACTGTGCGTGATTTGCAGGGCTCTGGCAGTGGAGCCGGCTCCATGTTCTCAAAGTAATTCTCATAGATGTTGACTGCATTGTTCTGGAATATGTAGTGCTCCATGGGTTTGGTTAGGTTCATCACTTGCGTTATGTAATTCTCATCCTTTTCAATTTTGCGCTTGTAGCGCACCGTCTGCTCCGGGTCATGCATATTGATGTCCTTCGGCCAGCCGCCCTCATTGTGCGTAATGCCCGTGCTCTTGTACGTCGCGCGCTCCGTGTTGGCCACGCTGAGCGATGTTTGCCCCGCATATTGTGTGGACCGATCCACGGGGTTCTTCAATATGAAATTCTTGACCAGCTCTGGATTTGAGTTCTCGCTAAACACCACCTCATCCTTGTCTTCAAAGTGCACCCGGGAACCAAATGTGCGTCGCTCCTTTTTATATATGTATTCCATTCTAGGAAATATATAAACTCTTAACCTGACAATTGTGTTGTTAAGACTAACTGTTATAGCATTATAAGCCGAGGCCATAAGTTTTACTGTACTCCTAGGTAACGAATTTATGTTTTATCAATATGCATGTTTTTTTTTTATTGCCTCGAGGAACTATTAATACGCTTTCAATTTAAGAAAGGTTAAATTCTGCCATATATATTATTTTTGATTTACATAAGAACAATAATATATATGTATATACCAGAAATTTAACTAAAAATTAAAATTTTGTACATTTTTTAGCGTATGTGTGGGATGTATATAAATATATTTCATAATATGTATTTCATTGTATTTAATGTAAAATATAATTCAATAGATTTTCTAAATTGGAATAAAAAACTTTAAATAGGGGGTGTAAATTACATTTTATTGCAGTGAATATCACGTATATTTAGAATATACTAAAACAATATTTAACTAAATAAAATTTGCTACTTTGTACAATTTTGCTAAATAAATTTGACTAATTGGGGATTGGGGGACTATTTACAATTGATTTCTGGAATTAAACTACATTTGAATAATTTTTCCTAATTGCTAACACAGCAAGCAAATTCATTGGCGGAATTCCATGGGTATTTCTCATCCAGTTGGTTCCGGCTCCATGCGGGCTTCGTGTTCCCATTATCAACTTTTTAGAGTGCCAGTGCGATGGTATTAACCTCCAGCTGATTTGGTACTCCAAGAGTTTCTATCGCCCACTGGCCAGAGTTCCTGGTCCGGTTCGAGCACGTTGTTGATCACCAGAGAGTCTTGCTTGAAGTGCAGATCGATCGGAAGACGCAGCGCAGTTTTATAGGCCTGCAGGTACAGCCGAGGCAGGGTCAGTTCAATCTGTCAATATGTTCGTTCGTAGGCGTCATGGTCCTAATGACTTTGACCTTGTTGGAAAATTACCAGACAAAAATTCCGCGATAAGAACGAGCAACCCACCCAATACATTTGCCTGCTCGTTAAAGTTGAGTTATGATAGCGACGCATACATAAAAAAGAGATTAGCTGAATTCCTTCTGGGAAAGTGCAGATAAAATTCTTGAAAATCTTGACTTGCCTGTTGCTTGCAAACAAATGGATTAGTTTACATAAAATCTTAAGATAAGCTTGATGATTTGTTTTAGGTATAAACAATGTTTGTATAAAAATATAATTTTAATATATGTTTGTAAATTTTAGTTATTAGAGTCAATTTTACTCAGTCGTTTTTATCTGTTTTTCGTAATTTCCTGATGGTATCAATATTTGCTGTGTATAGCATGACTGTCTTCTTAATTGAAGGTCCGTATTTACTTTTTGTAATCTGTAAATATAGTGTATTAAATAATAATTATTTATTAATTTAAGTTAACTTAAGCTTAATACAAACAGTCTTATTATTGGCTTGGTAAAGGGTCTCCACGGATTCGTCTTTCAGTCTAGCGCTTTGAACTATTGCTCTTAGGGTTTGAATTTCATCAATGAGTTTTTTACGCTCATCCTTTAAGAAGAAAACTTGACGTCTTAAGCTGCTCCTGTTGATAGCAACAAAATTCGATTACAGTAAATTTACAATTATAATTTTTTATATTTTTCACTTACACTTCGCATTCTAAATGCCTCGCATAACTGTCGCTTTCTGATTCTATTATTTCCATATGTTCTTCAGTATTTGTTTGGGGATCAAGCGAGTCAATTATTTCCAATTCAATTCGTCCGATTCGAGGCCCTTCTTCGGTTAGCTGAGTTTCCTCCGATTCGCTAATATACTCTATCATTTCATAGCTTTCATACTGGGTGCTCCCACTTTCAGCTGTTTCCTCTTCTCTATTGCTTGTGTTTGGGGTAAGCTGCTCAAGCTGTGAGGTCTTCGAATTCTCTTCCTCTATCTGCTTCTTCTTCTTACGGCAGCTAGATGGGCTTGTATTTTTACAACTTCTGCGTTTATTCTTAGCATTATTTAATAACAGTTTAGTTTGTGGCCCATGTACAGTGGGATAGGAACCAGGCTTTAAAATTGTAGGGTTCTTACGTGTGAAACCTGAAGGAAACATGTTGCTATAGAAACAGTTATGCTATGTATGTATGTTTACACTTACCAAGCTCATATTGCAGATTACGTTCAAAGTCTTCCGGAGTGAAGTGCTCATTACAGATACAGGCTAATAAATGATTTATTATTCTCTTATTCAATTAGTTACAAACAACGTACCTGTTGTTGTGTTTGTTATGTCGCGCTCGCAGAATTCAATCCATTTCTTGAGCTGTTGCTTATCTTTTGGAAAGTGAAAGTAGCGCCAATTTTTTTTATTGCCATTTCGATTGTTGTTGCCACAGTATCTTACAGCACAACGCATTATAATTCGTGATTAGCAATAGTAAATATGCATAATGCGGAAAAATAAACAAATCGCAGACTAATCAGCTGATAAGCGTGGGGCTGGTGGAGCTTGTTATCGATAGCTGCCAAAGTCGATAAGTGCGAGCCACTTGTAACATATACAACACTGTAATAAACAGCTATTTAACAATTGTTATTCGTGGAAGTCTGAAGCTTTGTCGTGCATTTTACGATTCAAAAATGTTGAAAAGCAGCAACTTGGACAGGTAATCTATAGGTAACAGCTAATATAAATGATTTTCACAGTTGTGTTCTCAAGTAGTGTTATTGGTGAACTCAAAGCTGATCACACGGCCACTGGCGCCGTCGCAGCTCCCAAGAAATCAGTTAAGAACAACAAAAACAACAACAGCGAAGTGCAACGAAAAGTAGACGAAATTGATTGCTCTACGGCAGCCTTGCAATTATCCTTTGGTGTCCTTGAAATAGCCGAATCACCATTAGTACGTGTGCGCAATCAGCTAAAAGAATTGATGTAAGTGGTGTTTGACTTAAGATGGGTAATCAATCACATACAAATACATAACTCGATTTCAGTGGCAAACAGAACAAATTCTACATTGATGTGTCTAAGGAGAAATATAAGCTGGATTGTAGCGAAGTATCAAAACTATATGATTTGGTAAGCGGAAACTGAAATTGTAGATGTGTAAGTGTTCAGTTAATTTCTGAAGTACGTGATTATCAGCACAAGTGATTAATATCAATTATAAACAATGTCTGGGCGTACAACTCTTATCGCTGACAGCTAAATGCATTTTATGATATTGTTAGGCTAATCCAAGTGTTTCATGTAAATGGCGCATGATATTTAATGAATTACGTCTACCTTACCGTCTACACACATACAGATGAGCAACGTGAAGCTCTACAAAGATAAACTGATTAAAATCAAAAAGGATATGCAGAGCATTTATCAACGTTCCAAAGTCATCAAGGTAAGGCAACAATGTACAAAGAAAACCAAAGTAACGAATCTTTATTGTATAGCATAAAACCATAAAAACAATAATTAACAGTGTGTACGAACTACGACCACATGCAATCATAATCAATTGTTAACTAGGTTTATCTTTATATATGTATGTATATATCGTATTTTTGATTACAGAAACGAGCTGTACACATCGCAGCCTGTAAGCAACGCGAATACCAACGCAAGGTCGAAAAGCAACAGCACGAGGAGTCGCTCATCGGCAATCAGTAGCTTTAGGGCCATAGATACAACAAGCTTTATAATTACTTATATATATTAAAACTAGTTATAATCGGGCAGTACTCAAACATAATGAGTACAGCCAGAGCTGACAAGACTCTAGGCTAAGAGCTAAATAAACATATCATCTAAAATGAATACATATGATAAAGAACAATACAAGAGAATAGTAGCTCCTTTGTCTTTCTATATAATTTGAAAAATACTTTCGAGATAGTTTTTACATGCATGAAAAGCCAATTTTCATAAGCAACATTGACTAATGTTTTAAGCTTTTTCTTCTTAATTTCTAAAAAAAAAAAAGAAACATTTAAACATTCACAGTTTTAGAGTTTCCAATACAATTTAAAAACATGCCATTTAAATTTAACAATGTAAAGCTTTGTTTATGCGTGTGCAAATCGTGATAAGCTAGCAAATTGAATTTAACTAATTATATGAAATCTTTATATCACAACTAGAAATACTATAATTTTTCCTTATCTTTTTTTTATTTGAATGAAAATAGATCTTCTTTGTACTGACCTTAAGCGCATAAACCTAGCCAAAGCATGCACTAGGGTAACACAAATATTGGATGTGTGTGAGGAATTTGTTGCTAGCATTACTAAAATTAGAGTACAATTACATATAATCATTATAATTACAATCGAGATTGAATATTTAGCATTCGCCATGCAATTTGATGAGGAAATTGTTCTGATTCAGCAGCAGGAAAAGTGTTTCTCTTAATTTGGTATTGGTTTTGTTGTTTTGATTTTGTTTTCTTGGCTGATTGTGTGTTGTTTCACGCTGGCAAGCATACGAATTCGGTAAATCGCCAGATCACAGAGAAGGATGAGGAGGAGCTGTTTAGCTAAGACCTGTATACTCCTGTTCATTCAGCATGTGCATTGCATCTGTCGGTGCGAAATATTTGACAGTGCCTAAAAGTATTCGAAATATGAATTAGTCTCTGTAAAAGTGTAAAAGAGTTTTATGTTTTACTTTTGATAGATATGTCGAATTAATTCTTTAGGGAATACCTGAATATCGATCGTATCTTAAGTGATAATGCGTAGCTGAATTGCATTTACAAACATGATCTAAAATGCCTTAAAGTGTATTTCACAAAGAGTGCGAAACTTTTATTACCAATTTTATTTTCTGTTTTGTTTTTGTTCTGAACTTTGTACAATTTTCAAATAATAAAAAAAAAAAATAAAGAAATATTGAAAAATGCAACAATGAGAATAGCTGTGTTTGAGCAGAGTTCAAGAAGTATATATTTGATATACATAAAAATGTTTTGATGTATTTTATATAGAAGATCAATCCAATTAATAAATTTTATATGGCTTTATATACATATGAATGAATAAAAGAATAAAGAAAAATATCATTTTATAGCCTGTCTTCGTCTCTTACGACTACAGTAAACAGGATTTATCAAAATACTTTATATAATTATTTTATGATTTATCATTTTATAGCTATGGGTGTTTTAATATCGGGTAATATCTAAATAGCGACAAGTCTTCTAGTTATTGTCCCATATTGAAACTCTTTTGGCATAGCTGAGAATATCTTAATATCCTAACTACCGCAACAGTTAATAAATTCATGTACATCTATCGGAAATGCTGATAAATTCTGTTAAATTCTTGGGCTCGATTAATAATCTTTGGGATCATAATTGACCTGTGTTGTACTACAGTAAGAAAGTGTCGGACGAACTCTTGGCCTCAGCTCAAATCGACATCTCTAAACCCATCGAGGTTCTTAATGCTAGTCGGGCAGTCGGGAGTTGCGGATGCATTGGCAGATGCAGATGCGGATGCGGATGCAGTTGCGGACGCTGCCGTGGAGGACCTACCCTTACCATTTTCAGCTGGGCCATTGCGCTGCAGGTAGATTTGTACACAGACATGGATGACGAACACTATGAAGGCAGCAATGCCAAAGATCTCAAAGGTGGTACGAGCGCCGACTCCATCAAAGAGCTGGCCTCCAATTTGACTGCCCATGGAGACGCCGATGCCCTCGAAGATCGCACCCACAAGACTCTGTAAAGAAACCCTCTTCAGTATGATCTTTTGTACCGTTTCTCTCTGGGATTGCGTTTACCTGCATGGTGGCCTCCGTGCCTGGCGGGGCGACTATGCTGGCGTACGAAGCCATTGTCGCATAGAAGAGCCCGAAGGTAACGCCATTGAGCAGCTCGATGGGCAGTATGTACCAGGGATTCTGCAGCATCGAATACAATATGAATCGCACACCAAACCCGAACAGCACCAGGCTCATGGCATTCACATGCCCGATGCGCTTCAGTATCCAGCCGGACATGAAGAAGAAGGGCAGCTCGCCGCCAAAGCACTGAATGCTCATGACGAGGCCCTCTAGGGTCTTGATGAAGTTGGCGCCATTGTCAAACGGCTTCGCGAGCTCCTCCAGATAGATGAATAGAAAGTTCCAGATCAACGCTGTGCCCAGGCCTATGGCCACGCACCAGAGGAAGAAGACGACGCAACGTATTGAAAGGAACATTTGGCCCACATCCCTTAGGATGTTGGCCGACATGTGCGTCTGGGTGTGCTATGGGACAGAATCCATTTAATACAAATCTCGATTATCTTCAGGTGACTTACCTTGAGCTTGGTGGAGGCGAGCATGTCAAAGCCCAGTATGATCAGGGTCATCCAGAAGACAATCGTGTAGTTCTTGTCAATGCTGCCCTCCTTGGACATCGTGTCCACCAGCAGTCCGGCGAGCAGGGCGAAGATGCCCCAGCCCAGGGAGCCGCACAGCCGCTGCCTGCCGTACAGATGATGTCGTTCGCCCAGTATGCCAAAGCAGATGGCATCGCCGATGCTCACCACGACTGCCATGCCCACCCAGCTGATGATCAGCATGCCAAAGAAGAACCAGAACTCGGGCAGAGCAACAGCGCTGCCCATATTGATCACCGAGCTGTCGGGCAGGAGTTCGTTGATGAATGTATCGTTGCACTCCATCTGGCAGCTGGACTGGAACATCGGCTGGTCCTTGGGGCAGTAGAGCGTCACGTTGCGGGAGTCGATCGTGCCCAGGTCGTGCGGAATGAGGAAGTTCAGGCATCTCATATTGCCATTCGCCTCCTCGATCAAACCTTTCATATCGATGTAGGTGGAAAACGTGAGTGTGTTCTTGGTCCGATTCGCCTGACAATCGCTCAGCGGATTCGCATCGAGCCAGTGCTGGCAGACGATGTCCCACATGTCTGGCTCCATTTGGCATGCCATGTTGCAGGTGAGTGTGCGGTTCCCATAGAACGACTCCAGCTGCGTTTCCGCGTCCTTTGGATAGTTGGAGCAGTAGCGTATGTTGGACACCCCGGCGTGACAATGGAACTGAGGCTTCTCTACAGCCGGCACAAACATCACCATAAAGAAGGCCACAGCGGTGATCAGTTGTCCAGCCAGAAAGAGAAATCGATGTCGATGGTAGCTGGAAGATTTGAATTGAGAGCATTAACAGAATCCATATTATACTGTGTGTCTCTCAATAATTATTTGTACTCAATTTGCTATACTAACTATAGGCGTTTTCTCTACCTATCGACGAAAGGACGAAACCCAGATGCTTTGTCATAATCAGCTTTAATCACTCTCATTATCTTTTTACTAGCTTGAAATCCGCATAGAGAAGCGCTTGGTCTTTTCAGCGATCAATCAACTACAGAGATTAGTCTCTTTTTAATCACTATCTTTCAATATTTCGTTCATAGAATCTCAGTTATGAAAATAGCGTAGAAATGAAATTTGTC